CCCCCACCAAAAGCCCCCCTAACAACAACAACAACCAAACAGCAATAACAAAAACTGAAAACAGCAGAACAAAAACGAAAGGTCCCCCTCCCCCAATTCCCCTACTTAAAAAATAAGGAATAATTAAACACAATGAAAGGAATATATACATAAACAACTCGTAATAATAAGATAAGAAGAAAAAACAACAATATCATCAACAAAAAAACCCCCCAACAACCCATCAGAAAAAACCCAAATAACCAACACCCCTCCAAAAAACAAACAAAAAAGACCAAACAAAAAAAAACAAAAAAAAGAAGAACAAAAAGAAACCTACAAAAAAACTTGACAAACTATATATTATAATTCAATGTCCTGATATTTTCAGTATAAATTAGAACGACAACGTACCCGACCGAATGCAGTCCTCCAATCTCCCTTTGAATCGCGTTTCTTTATCTTTGAGTTCATCGAATATCTCCTGAGTTAAATTATTTTTCAAGAGAGAATGGCATTCTGTCGGTGGATTGCACAACCGCTGCCACAGTTCATCAAGGTTTAATTTTTTCTCAGCGTCCGCCACTGGTTCTTCTCTTCCGGTTTCATCTTTTGCGTCAGTGCCTTTCTCCTCCTCTTGTGCCTTCTCTGTGGCAGCTGCCGAATCTGATGGTGCAGATGTGTCCACCTGATCGGTGGCTGTGTTTTCCGTTTCTTTTTTTCCCTCTGAAACTTTGTTTTCTTCTGAAACTTCCTCTATTGTTGGTCCGCCTTTTTCTTCTTGCTGTCGCTGGCGATCGACCATCTTGCTGTATTTTGCGTACATTTTTAGTTGTTTAAAGTTTGACTAGGCTTCAAAACAAACTGAAATAGTTTATGGTGTCCAATAATAAACAACAATCGAAAACATAAGCGAACGTAAACAAAAATCGTTATTGTCAATCAAAAGGCAAAGTTGAAAACACAACCTCTCAGTTATAGAAGCCACGCCATATCTCGCCTGGTACCCGCCACAAACGTGTTTCGCTTAGCAACAGGGGACGCCTTAGCGTCGCCGGGCAAGGGGCCGCCATGTCAGAGCGTATTAATTCTTGTGCAAGTACCAAACTCCAGCGGGCATTCGGTTTTTCTCCTGTAGCGGAGTGGCAGAGGCTCGAGGCCCGTGACAAAATAGTTCTTAGCCCCTTAAATAATTCTCACTTAGTTCTTCAAATGTGTGCCGTGAGAGAGAAACGGCAGGTTACCCTGCACCCCACCTCCCCACCCCAAGTGTTTTAGGCTCCTTAGACAGAGTCCCATAACCTGTGTGTTTCGCTAATTAAGGGGTGGGGTGTCGTGTAACATCGATCGCAGAGTTCAATCTTGAGATTTGATATGATGTAATGGTATTGGCTAACACGCTCCCACGCCGACCTGATCAGTCGGGATTAGTTTGCCTCGTGTGAACTGTTTTCCCAGTTGGTGACACTGACTGGAGGGTGAACACTTTCAGAGGGCGCAATTTTCTTTTGTTTCGAAACCATTCATTTATCAAGCATTAGAAATATCTACGACAAATCTGTATGTGACATTAATGAAACTCCTGAAACACTTTTATATTGAAACAATTCATAGTGGCGTGTGTATGTTTGTCTGTGTCTCTGACTGTATGTCTGTTTGATTGAAAAGTATTTTAGGATGGAGATACTTAATACATTTAAGATACTGTTTTGTATGAAGTGTATGTAAATTATTGGCAGTTGTAAATGCCCAGCGTCCACAATTAGGGGGAATGCTGCTTTAATATTCACTGGAGGATTAACTGGGGTCGTATGGAATAGTCGAAATAGAAAGCAGAGATCTTCAGCAATTCCACCACAGACGCTGGTGCAAGGTTTGTAAGAAGCCAAGGAGGGTACGAAATGCTCGTAGCATCAGAGCTTTCACGATAGGCGTGTTCATATATGCTTAGGAGTACGTGCGTATTTCTGTTTGTTCGTCAGTCTGACCAGCTCCAGGGACTGCAAACAGTGAAAACACAAAATAAACAACACACATTTGCTCTCTCCGGCCACGGCAATCACAGCAGCTAGGATAACCTTCAACTCCAAACAGGAACCGCCGTGAACATCTCTTTCATATGCCACTCCTTTTCTGTCTTGAAGTATTGTTTCTTTGCCAAATTAAATTTCTAAAAAAAATCGGTATCCTCGTTCAGAACAGCATAACCTTTCTTGCATCGTCAGCCGTGTTGAAGTCATTGTTTAAAAGTTTCACATTTTTCTCCTCGCGAAAGATTGTAAGTAGCTGTTTAATGTATCCTATTGCTGCACCCCCACCCCCCTCCAAAGGAAATACTCCTGTTACTATTACTATTCTTTAGTCTAAGGTCTGAAAAAACAAAAACAAACAACAGACAGACAGAAAGACAGACACATAGACAGACAGACAGACATGTTGTCCCTCTCCGTAATGTGAGCCTCCAACACTACTTCCAGGCTTCTTTTCCTACGTTATCGATTAATCATGACCAGGCGCAAGCACTTCACAGACCAGCTAAACCTAGGATTACTGCTGACTTCTGACTTCTATATCCAGCGATGGAGGACTCCGCCAGGAATCTGCATGCTCACCATTTGAAGGGAAAGCCCCCTCCATTATCAAATTTGTCGACCCC